ATGGGGCCAAAAATACATACTTCATAACTAACTAAATAATAAATACATTTAATCATATATCACAAAAATCAAAACAACATTATGAATAACTTGGAGATAAAAAATAATATTATCCTTTAACAAATAATTCTTTCATAGAAATACACTTACCAAACAAGGAATGATGCTTCTCCAACTTACTATAAAAAGTATCATCATTATTCTTTAACAATTATTTTATCATCATGAGTCTTACAGCATCAACAAAAACATATTGGACTTAAAATAAATTACAATAAAAGTGTAGCTATTTAATAAAAGTAAATTGCATTTTTTTTCTTAGAAATTGTGCATAGTACTCTATGATGTTTGTTGAAAAAACTTATGAAATTTAATCTTAAATTTGTAGAGTAATTTTATTTTGAGGAGTATATTTTTTTATCTGTTTTGTGCACACGTTGATTAATTTCAAGAGATATTTATCACATTTCATTAGCAATAGGTATTTAATAATTCGATCTAGCAATGCTAAAACATATGAAAAGCAATCACCTTGTATTTCGTCTTTGCTAGAATTTGAATCAGAAACTTTACGATATTCAATCTATTTCATTGATCCTCAGGTTACACACTTGACTACAAATGTAACTATTAATTTGGAATGGAAAAAGTACTTAAGTGAATAATATCATTATGGGTTGGGGTGAATTAAATATGATTCCACCACCGACAGTTTGCAGACTTGTAAATACTGGTTGTTTGATAAATAAGAAACTTTTACTTTTGTGTGACATGTTAGAAGTGTTTTTTTTTTCTCAATATTTAATATTCATATTGAAACTCAATTAATTTCAATTTGCATATTGTAGGGTTATCTCTAGATGTGATGTTTTTAATAGGACTTTTTTCATTTTCAGAACTTGAATTCGAGACCCTTGGTGCAAGTGCTTACAAGCAGTGTCACTTGTATAAAGCTATCTATATTGTATTTACAAAGTGTTTGAATATAAGTTGTATCAAAATAGTTTGTACTTCCTTCCTTTTAAACCATCTCAAATCTGATGAAATAGGATGAATTGAGACAGTATATTGTAAATGCGTAATATCTTGAATATATTAACCATTTCCTTTCTTTACAATCGCCTGGAAGGGACAAAAGAAAGATCTTGTTGCTTCTTCCCTTTTGATTAGGTTTTCCTTTCAATTTCTATTGAGTCTATCTCAAAATTCATAATGTTCAAAAAAATTCTCTTACCTTTCACTTTTTTTCATTTTATTTCTTTACAAGTGGTGTTTTACATGAATCCTAGGATTTGCCTCGCGAGTAGGGACTTATTCTTTATTGTATCAAATAGGATTTGAGATACCCTTAGTCCATTACTGAATAAGAAATGATCAGGTATGAATCCTCTTCCGAGAATGAGCATCCTTTCGACGTAGAAAGGTCAAGGAAGTTGGTGACCTGATAATACTTGAAAAAGTAACGGAACAACTAGTACCGCGCCTTGTTGATAGAAAATCATATCTCGTCTTAGTACTAGGCATGAGAGTCATTGAAAGATTTAGAATTTATAAACTTCAAATTCGGACTTCACCTATGAGAATGACCATACTTCACCGCTATTTAAGGAGACAAAGGAATTTCCAATAAGCTTTTCAAATTCTGGTTTCTGAAGAAGGCACCAGCACCAGAAAATTTACAATTTGAGCTATTCAAATGGTGCAGAAACACCCTCATCTTCTCGGGTCCCAATTCGAGCATACAAATAAGTTTTAAAACATTACATGAACCGATATGAAGTCTCAAATCATGCAACGACATGTAAATACTCAAAAACAATTAGTGTGCAAAATATCTCGTTACCTTTCATCAGCACAAGTATTTGGTAAAATACTATCCGTTTTCCACTATATATTTTATATATATATATCACATACATTGCAGAAACATGTACCATTTCTACTGTTAGACAAAGCTACCAATTCTAACTTATGCTTACACCCTTGTAGCTAATCTAACAGAAGCTCAAAGATTGAATCTTTATCAAATTTTCTGATTTCTGAATGAATGAGTCCCCAAATCCCTCAAAATTCAGGCTGTGTCGTCCTGAGATGTCTTGAAAGGGCGATGTGAGGCAAAACAACCGACTTCCATAGGATTACTTTCGGTCAATCAAAGGCCTCCTCCATATGCTAGACAATATTGTACGATGAAATCAATATCACAATAACAAGGAACGATTACTAGAAATGTAATCGTAGTGTTGAAGGAGTATAGTAGTCGAAGTTTCCAGCAAGCAAACAATTATCTGTACTAATATCATTGCAGCAAACGTCGATAAACAGAATAGGGAAGAGGGATTTTTTTTGCAAAAGCAAGACTGATTAGCTCGCTTAAGGGTTGGTAGCTGAAGAATTTCAAATAGGAATTTTTGAGCAGCTAAAGTTAAGATAGAATAGCTCATCACATTCCGAGGTTGAACAAGACAAATTGCCAATCTTTAGGAGCTAATTCAAACCCCCTCCAATAAAATAACAGCCATGATTAGGGAAGACGGGAAAAACATCAATCGTTTAGGTTTTCTAAGCAGCTAAAGTTAAGATAGAATAGGTACATCGAAAGGCAAATTGCCAATCTTTTCTTTCAGAGCTAATTCAAACCCCTCCGATACAACAAGTACCCCTGATTTAGACCCTCTTAATGGGGTACGGGAAAGGATTACTAGATGATGAATCAAACTCTTACCAATAAGCTGAAAGTTCAGATAGTCAACCAACTGAACTACTAAGCTTATAATCATAAAGAAAACTCGATTTTTCAAACTCAATAATCAATATCGTCTTCTTTATTCCTCCTAACAAGTGCAAAATACCCAAGAATAGCACAAATCACAGCGACTAGATTCCCTTCTCTAATCAAAACCCTAACAACAAACCCAGTAATCTCAGCCGTCAATTTCTTCCCCTCCATAACCAAATCCCTTCTCCCTTTACCTGCAAATGTCAGCAAAACCAAAATAGTGATCCAAGTTACAAGCGTTGCTGGAACAACGACGATCAGAGCTGCTACAATCGATAAAACCCCAAACGCAAGCCCTAATATCATAGATCCGTAGAGAGCTGAAGTGGGTGTCAATTTCATGGTGGATTCGTACCAAGAAAGTACTGAATTGAGGAAATTCCAAGAAATTGACAGTAAAATTGTGTAGACGGTGAGAAAGAGGAAGACCCATGTTCGTCTTTTGCTCATAAGTTTTTTCAAGAGAAGCATGAAGGAGGAAGAAGAGGTTGATGATGGTGGAAACAGGGGAGGTTCTTCTTCTTGTTGTTTAGTTTCAGCCATGGAGATTTGGATTTTGCTATTTTGTGGCTCTTGTTTTGTTATTTGATGTGGTTTGTGGGATATAGGTGATTAGGTAAATGACATTAATTTAATTAACACCTTGTTCCGTTAGAACGATCAATAATGTTCTCACTTATAACATGATTTAAACCCTCAATATATTGATTGATGGTGGAGTATCTCAATTACTCGAGTAAGCCTTACTTGTCAATTTAAAAGGAGATGATATACATTTTTACTTCTAATATTATGTTATCTTTCAAGATTTTAGTGGGTTTTTTTTTTATGATTTGGTTGTTTAAAATATTGTTACAATCAAAGAAGTTAATATAGTTTAATATCTACTAAATATATACAACAAAATAATATTGACCTTGTAAGTATAATTTTTCAATAAAGAGGATTTGGATATGCCGACCCTAGCTCCGCCCCTATTATAGGAGAAGGTGCAGAATACTTATTTTTGATCGAAGCATATTCAAGATTTTAATTAAATCTTATAGGTTTATGAGTCATAATCTTTTAACACAAATACAAGATTATTGAGTTTTGTTGTCCCATAAGTGTATATCCACCACTTACTTGTGAGAGGGACAAAAAGTAAGAGAAAATAATGGCATTTTCACTCTTTTGGGAACATTTACTTGTTTGCCTCAGTGTGTGTTGTTCATTTCTCTTGTTGTTCCCTAACTTTACACCCTGTTAGATTCCTTGCTTAGCATGCCAAAAGCTAAACATAGAAAACACATACGAGTAGAAGACTTCTTTATCTCTATTGAATTTGAACTACATTTTTTTCCCAAGCATCTCAATATCAAATATACGAATAAGTCACATTGCCCCTTGCTCTAGCAATTACTCACATATCACAAGTTTTCAGCAATAATTATCGATTTCACAAGCCTCCACACAAGCTAAATATCACACAAACTAAACAAGAATGCCAACACAACACATACTACAACTAAATTCACTCAAACAACTATAATGGAGCACTTCCTCAACCACACAATCACTGAAACAATCCACTCTAAAACACATACTACAACTCATTCCACAATCGACTCCCTAACCATATGAACTGGTGAAGGCCAAAACTTCACCCAAACAACTCTAACAAAGCACTTCCTCAACCACACAATCACCAAAACAATCCACAACTATCAAGAATGGAAAGAGTTCATAAAAAAAACAGCCAATGATACTCATTGGTAGGATTAGAAACCAAGCATAAAAGTGTAAAAATCTCTTCAAAATCAGGAAGGGTAAAATCAAAATTTTATTAGAGTTACTGCAATTTTGATGGTATCTTCTTTTGCCTCTTAGCTTGAGAAGTTTAAAAAACAAAAAGCTATTCCCACCATCTGAATTTAAGCATCATTCAAGATCATAAGATTCAAAGAACATATCAATTTAAAGCTCGTTAAAGATCATACAATTCGAAGAACACCTTAAAACATTACACATCTTAAAATGAAGACTATTAAGATTCAAAATTTCTCACATTTTCCTTAATATAGTATATGATCTGCACAAAGAACCATGCACCAAAGACAATCAATTATAAAGCATTCAACAACTGGACTGTTTCAATTTTCATTCATCTTATCAAGATTAATAACTTACTACAATAATCCAACCTACATTTCAAAAAGCTAACACACTTAATAACACTGTACTATTGAAGGTTTCATTCATTGACACAAATTATCAAACACCTTCAAGGCAACCTACGTTTCGACAATCTCGGTGAAGTTCTTGCTGCATTTGGTGTCACTGATACACTCTTCTTCTCAGATCCCTTCAACCCCTTCTTCAATTTCCTACCTTTGGGTTTCAATTTCACAATTTTCTCAACTACAGCCTCTTTATTTCTCCCACTCCTTGTTCTCCCCATCACTACCCCATCACTCTTCTCAGCAACTTTATCAAAATCATCATCCAATTTCCTCGCTAAACCCCTTTTTTCTACTCTCCCATCAACCCCCATTTCTTCATTTTCATCATCAGATTCATCAACCAACCGCATTTTCCTCTTCAAATTCAATGGAGCAGGAGGAGGAGACGGACTTACATGAACCACCGGTGACGACAACGAACCCTTTTTCACCGACTTCTTCTTCTCACCCACCGATTTCTTCTCGATCTTCTCACACTCAGCTCTGAGTTTCTTGATGTTACCTTCGATCCGTCCCTGAAGACGGAGGCGTTTGAAGCTCAAACCCCCCATTGACCAATGAGCTTCCTCAGCCCATGACAAAAACGGATCCAAAACAGATACTGGTGGATCGACCCGTTCTCCATTTGGGTTTTCGTAAAACCGCGGCCTTGGTAAGCTGCTGCCGTAGAACTTTCCGGGACCTAATGCTACCACCATGATAACCCAAAAATTAACAAAAAAATTGAGAGTTTGTCAGTGAAGAAACTGAGATTTAGATGAAAATGAATTGGGTGGCGCAAGATTTATATATAGTGCTTCACTGTGAGCTGCAATGGAGGGAAAATATTTTGCGGGAACGTTTGCCGCCAAATATCTACCGCCCTGTTGTGAATTTGAGTTGAAATTTTTGCGCCAAATTTTAGGTAAGGGAGAATATTAAATTTGGATATTTACACAAATGACCTCTTATGTGGTTGCGGTCCTCTTTTAAGCGATCGCGAAACATAATTTACAACATCGACATGAGTTTCAATGGTGCTGAATCACCCTTGAGCCCCTCGAGTTCTAATTCAAACCGTACCAACAAGTCTCAAATACTCTTTATGTCCCAATTTATATGACATATTTTATGTTTTGAGAGTCAAACAGTTTAAGTTTGATTGGAAATTTGTGCATGAAATCTTCAATTTTTTAAAAATGAAATTTATATATTTGTAAACTACGTAAAAAGTATTATAAGTCACAATAATTGATAATTCAAAATGTTTAAAAGATCTATGAAAAATTTACGATCAAAGATAGACTTGTTTGACTCATGAAATCCGAAAGGTGACATAGAAAATGGGACAGAGGGAGTAGTACTAATGAATCTCAAATTATTATTAAACCTATTAACACTTAAAAAGATGGATTGAGTTCTTAAATTTGTCTTTTAAGCCTGCCAAAATAAGATCACGTTAAAAACCTTCCCAAGCTTTTCGAAACTCCGTATTTCTTCTAGAGAATCTCCTAATTGTTTCAGAGCAACTAGAAAGTCACAACCCGAACCATTCGATGAAGTTCAAAAGCATAATTGGGATTTGGGCTAATGTTCCCAAGTTCCCAATGATCATGTATTCATGGGCCGGAAATTGAACATTGCTACTATAAGAACCATCTATGTCATGGTCCACGATAAATATCTAACTATAATAAACTATCTAAAACTAACTAGGCTAATGCTAATCTAATGTTGATTTGACTAATTACGTAATAATAGAAAATTGAATTACAAGATGAAATAGGAGCAACTTGTTTTTATGGTCACTAACTTGAAACTCAATCATCTGATTGTATTGCTTAATCATGCACAATTTATTAGAGCAGTTCAATAGTCAAGAGGTTACAATTTGAATCGTAATATTACGCGTTTAAATTTGAAATAATTCAGGCTTATTAACCTAATTTAGTCTTTCTTCTTCCTCTATAAGTTTGTGAAAACACACTTACTTGCAAAAGATTAAAAAACAAGAATAATATACATTTTACATATGAAATTGATGCACCAGAAATTACTGTAAAATGTAAATTTATTCTAATTAGAAGAATTTTTTTAAGATTAAAGTTTAAATGAAGATATATGAGTGTATATAAATTGCAAGTATGATACAATATTAACTTAAATCCAATAAAATATTGCAAAACCGAACTCATACACACCACTAATTGGAATTTATAATCTTAGACCTATCGAGAGCATCCAATATGACATCGACTCTTAGTTTTAGAAGGTTTAATTTCAAATAGATATGTACCCTCGTGCATATAGTTGGATACAAAATCAATTATTTTTAATTTAAAATGATAATAAAAGTAGTAGATCTTTTATTATGTTTTTTGCAAGGGATTATGATCTTTTTAGTTTTTACAATAATTAATTTATATGATGAATTGGAACTATTTTATTTTATTTTAATTGATAGAAAAGAAACAGAATGACATTAAATTAATATTCACAAAATACATAGTTATTTTTGTGGGAAGGAAAAATCACATCCATTGATCTAGTCGAAAAACCTCCTCCAGGTGACTACTCAACTACCTTATCTTCTTGTCTGCCTTCGATTTTCTATGATCAATTCCATAATCATTCCCAAATCCATCTATTTGAGGGTCAAAATCATGTATACATATTAAGAAATCCATCAAATATTTGACTATAAATTCAATTATTATTATTAACTTGAAATATAATCTGCAGAAGCTCATGAACTTCACATCATGTATCCACCACCTCTGCTTATTTAGCGAGATCATTTCGGATAGTACATGTAACAAAATGACCTCTTTACTCTTACACACAACGTAAATTTCATAAACGGACGACAGAGTACCAGACTCATATGAACCCAATATAAACACGACTTTAAAAACACACAACAACCTGTATACTAAAAACTTTAAAGCTTGAACTCACAAAGCTTAGATCCTGAATTCGCTTCTGATTTCTCATATAGCCGTTCAGTTAATAGTTATTATCTCAAAAATTCACCGGTCTTCTGAGATAATAGCTTTTAGTTGAACGACCATCTGAGATATCAACTCCTTGTTTTACATAGCTTGGTTCTCTATTTTTCCAAATAATTTGAGAAATGATAGTGCAGCATCTCTTGCCTTTTCTGGTGTAGGAATTGTAGGTGCAATTGGCTCATATTCTGCTTTCCATTCTGCTACACATTGCTCATTGCTCACAGGAATGAAAGAGAAGGTAACTCTGTATGGATTATACATTTTCTTCAAATCACCATCAGTGACTTGATATGTCACTGACCTCCCCTCTTCCACCTTCTCTATCTTTTCTATTGATTGCTTGACATAGTTGCTTAATGCTGCATAAAATATTTGTGTTATATGCGCAATGACGAAGCCAGAATCTTTATCATAGGGTTCAAAATATAAAGAGGTAAATAGACAAAGAAATCAAAGAGATTCAACATGTACGATTGATGTTTGACATAGTTGCTCAATGTTGCATAAAATATTTGTGTTACAAAAGGTGCAGTGGCAGAATCAAAATTATTACTAATGGGGTTCGATATATATAAAGAGGTAACTCTATATACATAAATAAATAATTTCAACCTTATACATATAGTGTTTATTTTTTGATGATCCTATTTCACTTTTTTAGTGTAATTTTTTGATGACCCTGATTTCACCCTTATAGGAGTACTAACGAGTTCACGTCAACCTAATAATTTTTGGCCTAGACTTTATACATATATATAAATATGATTTACCCTATTTTTGTGGTATAGTTTTAACTTGATCATGAGGTTACCGTAGAAACTATTGATAAACTTTAAATCTTGAATTCGCTTCTTAAAAAAATAAAATAACACACTTAAAATATATATTAAATCAAAATCAAACAAACAAATTGAAATTAAAAAAATAAAATAAACACACTTAAAATCTATATTAAATCAAAATCAAACAAATAAATTGAAATTAAGAGTAACTGTTTATCCTGGATTAACCTAGAAGACGAGGTAAATAATCAAGACTTTCACAATTATTTACACCAAATCAAATAATTTATTTGTTGCCGTTGGTACAAACTAAAGTAAGATTACATATTACTCAAACCATGATTACTTGTAAATAAAAAAAATCATATGCAAACACATGTCTTTCATTCAGTACTTAGGGCAAACACAAAAACAAATTCAGAATTTCAAGATTACAGGTTCCTATAACGACCTCAAGTTAATATTACAATAATCACTGAATTTACAATCAAATATTTAATAGATTCTTTAATATATAGGTAAGATGTGAACAAAAATTACCAGATTCACGTAAATCTATAATCAGACTTCTAAATCCGTCTTTGTACAAACACCAGATGCAAGTAAGTGATTCACGCAAATCTATAATTAAATCCGCCTTTGTACAAACACCAGATGTAAGTAAATTTTTTATCGTAAATCGGGTTTTATTAAAGACTTACCAGGACCAAGCTGGAAACATCTGAGACTGCCAGGCTCTCCTTTTCCTTTAATATATTCAGCTTTAGCAAGCATTTGTGGATTAATTCTGCTAATTTTATCATTATCCCTATACATTTCCCATGCTTTTTCTGCAGAGATGTTGAGCAAAATTTCACCTTTCATTCCTCTCATCTCTCTTTCTTTTATCTCTATCCAACTTATCTTTCTCTTTCTCTGTATCAAGTCCTATCAATATATAGATGAGATATAATATAATATAAAAGGATAATGGTTAAAAATGTATCTGAAGTATCACTTTATCGGGTGTTTGTATTTTTTATCTGAATTATCATTAACTATTTATCATCAAAACACATCTTGAAACTGACTACATCATGTATTTGAATACAATCATCGAAAGGAGTGTGCACATGTGACAACTTAATTTGCCCATAAAATTTCATCACATGGTAGCCGGCTCATTAATTTCAAGGTGTGTTTTGATAACTAGTTGATGATCATTCAAGTTGAAAAGGACACTTGATTTAGGTTGGAAATTCGAAGAAAAAAAATGATACTTCGAGTGTGTTGTTTTTTATCATTGTCTCTTAATTTTATTTATAAAAATTCCAATTAATTTCTTTAAATAACCACATGGAGTGCCATTTACCAACAACTTTTGGCAAGAATCTTCACATTTAGTGTCCACCATGTTTGTCCTTTGATAAGCACCAGATGCTAAATCTTCTAAATATTATAATTTAATAGGCATCTATATCTTTGTAAAAATGCAGGAAAAATGATGCATCGAATAGATACAATGTGATCAGGTCCTTTGAAAAACCTAACATATAACGGGAGCTTTAATGTATCGATAAGTTTCCAACTAGGTGCATAGGGCAACCATCCTAGTATGGAGCCCTCAAGCAATGTAATTATATACATAAAACAGGAGTATTTTGCTTTCATTTATTACGTGTTTAACATGATCCCTTTTTTTTTCCAGCAACTATAAAGAATGTCTCAAAATATTCCCTTAAGAATTTATTCTCCAATTACAAGTTGCTTTTCTACAGCTTTAGCAGCAATATAGTTAAAGTTTTTATATTATAAGATAATTTACACAATTCAATAATACTAAAGAATATGGTCATACACCCCTCTTGACTCCGGTGGAGCTAAACTTTTATATTAATAGTGTTTTCTTACCTTCCTGAGCAAGATCACGTCCTTCATTACGAGCTTATACACATGTTATGGGGTTAAAAATATCCAAATATATGTCGTGTTCCACCGCGTAGCGAAATGGCCCAAATAAGACTACTTCTTTTCACGGTGAAGAGCGAAGATTGATTAAATCAAAGGACAAGAATGAGAGAAGATGTTCAATCTTAAGAGGTATTCATCAATTCTCCTACGTTACAATGTTGAAAACATTTTTGCCTTACAACAAATAAAACTTCAGAAGTAAGACATGGCAAATCTACAATACACAGCATGACAGTGCTGTATACATCATCGTCAACTGCCTAATTATATGACCCTTATTCAGCAAATAGATAGTATTCGAGTCGAATTGCACTTTCACTATTTTCAGATTCCCTGTGACCCTACATGAAAACATGATTAGAAAGGTTTGGGATAATGACCTAACCCGACCATCCTCTTTGAGGACCACCTGAAGAATGTCCATTCAGCCTATCGAGCACAGTATTGAAATCAACTGTCTGACCACTCTCCTCGAGCCTTTGGATAACATTAACCACATGATCACCCCTGTAGCCCATGCTTGCCAGCTTCTCAATTAATTCATTGTAAGGATGAGTGCGCATCAATTGAGGTGGACGAACCATATGATTGGGGCTTGGGGAGGACTGTGCGTTCTGGGGAGAGAAGCTGGAGGGAGGATAACCACTTTGTGGGAAATTTGGTGGTTGTCCCCTTGGGCCTTCACCGTCGTACATCAAATATGCATTTCCTGCAGAAAGAGATGGATGAGGCCCACTAGTTGCATACCCATCCCCTGGAGCACCAAACGAAGGCTTGAGATGCTGGGTTGGAGGCTGTGACTGAAGTGGCCTACCAGACCTGTCATACCCATAAGGTATTGCTTCTGGACGGCTTGCAACTGATTGAGGGATCGCAGAAAATGACATTTGCATTGGCATGCTATTGGGGACCGGTTCAGGAGAAGGATTCGGTTGACTGGGTGGATAAGAGGGATAAACAGCAGGTGATGAGGGTCTACCTTGCTGTTGCACAGTTGGAAGCTGATGCTGTTGAACCTGTTGGGATGCTTGAACCTGTTGAGGTACCTGTTGCGCCCATTGCTGCTGCTGATATTGGGGCATTGACTGGATTTGTGGGGTCTGATTCCCCGGAGGTGCTCCTGGCTGGGTTGGTAACCTAGAAAGATCTTGCATTTGAGAAGTTCGATACTGGGGGTCAGATGAAAGATATTGACCTTGGGACAAGTGAGTTGGAGCTGGTGGATTTGACATCTGCACTGGGGGTAAATAGTAACCTTGTGACTGCGTCATACTTTGAGATGGAATTGGTTGTGGAGGTGCCTGTTGTGGCTGCTCGACGGGTTGGTTAGTAAGAGGAGCCCGGGGTGCTACTTGATGGGGTAGAGCAAGTGCCAGTTGTTGTCCATTTACATCAGTTGAGTTGTCACCTTTATTGGAATCAGACACAGGTTGAGCATTTCTGTCCTCATTCTGCTGAGAATTGTTCGCTGAAGCTGGTTCTTTCTGCGCAAACTGAAGCTTAGCCAGCTCCTTCTGAGTTTCAGCAAGTTCTTGCTTATCTCTCAGAATCTGTACAGATCTGTGGACCTGCAGGAACAACAAACAGCAAAGAAATTAGTCATCGGAAAGCTATTAAAGTAGGAGAAACTATGAAGGCATAATTCCAGAAAGCAACTTAACATTGGACAAGAATGAATTCATACTTACTGACTAGGAGCATTAGAAGGCTAGAAAGTCAATAGGTGTATTTGAAATTCAGACACAAATAAACAGAAAGATGTGTGTTTTTGCAGAGAAAGATGGACGTAAACCATGACAGTGAATCCTTATGATTGGTGTCTCTACAATAATGTGGTGTTGGTTCTTTTTTATTTCCCATCCGGTGTTTGGTACCCACATTGGAGCCCGACTAACTCCAGATTCGCGCCGAGAAGTCCCACATTGGGGGGTAAAGTGCTCCTTAACAAACGCGACTCCGTACCATGGGGGACTCGAACCCGAGACCTCTAGTTAAGAATGAAGACTTACTACTCCACCACAACCCTTGTTGGTGTGGTGTTAGTTCTAATCACACGCGGACTCCTACTTAAAATAGGGTCTAACTTGATCTGATGAGGTAAACTTTGCCAATTGTCCATATGTACTAGAAAATAGAGTAGAAAATTCTCCAAGACCAGATAACCTGTTAGCATTGAAAACTTCTCAAGTCTACTAAACCATATAAAATTCTCCAGTCACAGAAAAATACGTTCCACGAATATTAGAACATACATGAAGCCGTACATTGCATGTATAAAACCCAGAACTTGAGAATGAGGAAGTGATAAGTCTCTAATGTCATCAGTTCTGGGAGAGAAATCTTTGAATGGATTTTAACTTTTAGCTAAAACTTTGTCAAACATAATAGATAATCAAAAAGTCTTATCACATTATAACTTAACTTACTAGGACTATCCTACTTTATAGGGCTAGGGATGGTGAGAGTATAAAAGGCATATCATCTTTATGAAAAAGGAGGAGGAACTTACAAGAATAGGATTATGCATATTATATATACCATGTTACTAGGACTATCCTACTTTATAGGGCTTGGGATGGTGAGAGTATAAGCAGCATATCATCTTTATGAAAAAGGAGGAGGAACATACAACATTATATACCATGTGAAACATAATATGTAAGCAATGCAATACTACCCATAATTTCAAATAAGACTTTATTTTAGCACATACCACCGATAAGAGAATTAACATTTAACTTGTGTAAGGGGTATATCTAAAAGCACAGCATTTAGCTGCTAGACAGAACCTTTAAATGCATGCCATGCAAGGAAATCAGTGAACGAACCTCTTGAACATGCTTCTCAAGAGCCTTCAGTTTCAAATCTGCTTCACCATGATCTCGAACTAAATCAGACCGCATTTCCCCAATGGACTTGTCAAGGTTGTAGCAGTACAGTTCCAACTGTGACAAGCGTGAACTGATACCCTCTAGAAATCTCATGAGATTGTCCGTATATTTTTTCATGGTCTTCTCAACAGTACATATCATGTCTTGATTGAAGGAAGATTCCTCTGGAGGGCTATATGTCGAAGTGGGAAACATTGATGACCTCGTCATTCTGTTTTTGTGGAACTCCTACTCAATACAAGAGCATAATTGAGTAAGAAGTCAAATAGAAGTTGTTTAGGTAAGATTGAATGTAAAGAAATAGAAAGAAAAAGTCTTCCTACAAAGATCTAAAAAGCACTGTGGTAAGATTCTTCTTTTTTGATGAAGCAAATTGTTTCATTACCGGCATCAAGAAGATGCAAAGAATACAAAAGTAGATATGCTAGCTCCATTACATGATAAAAGTTAAGACCCGGGAACCAGCCACAAAATAAAAAAATCTAGAGAAGACTTAACATGACTATGGATAGTCTAGCATGGTAAATTAATCAGAAAACCAATTCTACCTCTTGTCTATGACCCCTGAAAGAGCTGCTAATCTGTTATAATTACTATCAATGAGCTACATCAAAACTACGACTCCAAACATTTTCCAAAAGGTTTACACCAAATCTAGAATCCAGATGCAAAGCCAGAGCTATTGAGATTTGAGGATACTGTGTGAAACATGATTTCCTTATTGTTCTACATGTAGATTGACTTTAGCTAACCTGTTTTTGCAGTCTCATGTCTTCGGATTATTCATTTACAAAAAGAGAGGCAGATATAAAGAGACAAAGAAGAGAAGGTATAGGAGAGTTCAAGGATCTCCGTCATCATAAGTTTTAGGTTACAACAATGATTCATAACTCCTATTAGTAGCTCAAAATGAGTGAAGATAGACTAATATCTTACGTCCCTCACCCCTCTAAAATTGAACTACATAGTTAAACACCACAGTAATTTATGTACAGCCAAGTGAACCATCTCTTTAACCTTTGATCACTTTGAAAATCCACACTTAG